ATTTTTTTTGTTGTGGGGAAATCTGAAAAAAAAACCCTTCTTTGAAAAATTGAAAAGGTGAAAGGGGGTTTTTTTTTTTTTTTTTTTTTTGGTTTAAACTATGTCATGCATGTTTGGGACTCTTATTTTGAAGTTAAAAAGGAAAACTTCTTGCTTTGATGTGCTTTATTTACATATTCTGCTCACACTGCACATAAATCTGGCTGATGGCTTCTTGTTACAACAGCATGTATGAAGCCCCGTCTTTTAGGCATTAGGCCCACTGGAGAATTAGACAAACCTAGTTACAGTGGACCTTAACTAGGTTTGTCTAAAAATCCTATCTGTGGATTTTTCTGTGGAATGTAACTCAAAATTATTAGCAGAACATTGATTGAGTCATGGTTTCCACTGTACATATTCATGCATCTTACGGTATGGCAGCTGTACGTGTTTTTTGAAGTGGTTTCAGGTATTGACAGATTTCAGCTAATCATGCGGTCCCTAACTCTTGTGAATGCTAAGAGTCCACCGTCCTCAAACCTGGACTAAGTCGTGGTTTGATTGCAATTTCTTTGATTTGTGAAACCGTAATTCTATTCATGTGAGCAGAAAAGTGGGGATTTCTAATTTTCTCCAAATTTAGATAAATTCCTGCCTTGTTCTTGCAAACCCACGATCATGTCTCATCTTGTCTCATGAGAGGAATGTATTGTCACATCCTTAGTTTGAAAGAATCCACATAAAATATATAACAATGCAATGACTTGAGGGTTTGTAGCTTGTCTTGGTTGTTTGTTGACCACTGTGTAGCTTTATCATTTTATGATCAAGTCTTATTGTTTATATATATATATATATATATATATATATATATATATATATATATATATATATTTATAAGCTATTTCAGCCAAACTCTTATTGTAATAAATTATTTTCTCGTTAACGTCCGTCTCTCTCATGCCCCCAGGTTGTTTGTCCATGTCTTCATGCTGGGCAGCTGGACGGTGTTGTTGGTGAAAGCCATCCTGACCGGTGCCGTCTCTCTCTGCTCGCTGTTCCTATTTGTCTCTCTGGTTCACAGCAACTGAAGAAAAAGCAGCAGGCCATAAAATAAACCCTTGACAGTCTCGGCTCAAACTGGAGGAAAGGTTTTCATAAGTCAAGAGTCTGAGCTGTGAAGCTTTAAAGGAGCTTCACAGTTGACTGACATGATCCACCAACTGGTTCAGCTTCCAGTTCTTCCAGTTTGTTTCATTGGTTATGAGTCCATGAGGAAAAAGAGCGTTTTCTGGGTAACATTTCTACCCAACTTTTCACTGAATTAGTTGAAGCTAAGGGACGAACGTCAACATCAGGATACTTCTTCAGTGTGACTGGATTCTGTTTGTTTTTAAGATGTGAATTTTGTATTGATGTAACTACAAATGAACTAACACTTAATAAAAAAAAATACATTTCTTTTAATTCTGTTCTCCAGTTTTTGCTTTGATCAGTTATGAAGTTCGATAAAAAATATGGAAGTTCCTTTAATATATAATGTTGCCAAAAATGATTATGGTTAAAAAATGACTCCAGAAATAACACATTGAAAGAAGAACATTTGGCTAAACTCAGAGTTACAGCACTGATTAATTTGTACTATGGACCATTACTAAAAAACAATAATGAATAGAAAACGAATCTGCCTTCTAACTATTCATTCTGATATTGTGTTTCAACACTTGAATAATCTGAATCTCGTCTCCAGCCAGGCACCAGAAACCTTGCTGTCTGTTTGGAGAGTCATTGATGTTTTAATTGACAGGAGAGTCGAGCTAAGGAAACAGAAGAACAAAATTGAGAAACACAGAGACAAACACGTGTCATTAAATACTGAGACTTTTTCTGAGATGTCTCAGCAGCTTCAGTTTCTGCTCACCTACCTGTAACATCCAGAGTAATGGTGTCAGGTGAGGTCCATCTCCCCAGCAGCTGGTCTGAAACCTGAAGTGATACTGGCCCGCATCGTCCAGCTTCACAGCCCGAATCTGAACCGAGCAGCTGGAATAGCTTCCCCCGGTGTAGCTAGAAGGCAGGCAGCAACTCAGTAACGTAATTTTACGTAGTTTTTATTCAGCATTCCTGCTTCAAGCTGGACATTCAGAAACCAACAGTTTTACTCGCTCCACATGACTCCATTGTGACTCAATTTTTTTGATCAATTATTCAAAATTGCTGCATTCCAGCCTGCTGAGCACTTAATATCTCATAATCTAATAATCCTATAATTACTCTTACTGGTGAAGATTTGTTGGAATGTGGATCTCAACATATAACAATTGACAGTTTTAGTTTTTAGTAGCTATTCAAATGGAGAGTGCATCAGCAGAGGAACATTTCAACGAGTTAAAGGAGATTGACGTTTTCCAAAATCAACTTCATTTCATCATGTTTAGATGTGAGTGACATAAAATGAATATGCCAACATGTTGCAAAAAACACTACAACAGCTCCTTAATGACTGGATCACTCCCACAGTGTTATTTTAAAGCTGTGTGATGCTAAAACAGCACTCACACTTTTGATTTAACGCTACACCTAAGATTTTAACTCTGGAATTTTTACTGAATATATTCCCTTTTTTTTTTTACTCTGTTGTCTTATCTCTTTATTTTATTTCTCCGTCAACTCATGTCACATGACTTGAATGGACCAACAATTAAAGAAGAAGACCTGCTCCACCTGCTGCTTGTAACAGATTGTGGTGAAGGTTGAGGAGATTAATGACTTGATCAGAAACTGTGGCTGACAACTGCAAAAGCGCAGCAAACAGGAAAACAAGCTGCAAACAGGTGAAACGGCCCAGGAAAAGCTAAACTTAATGATCTTTTTACATTTTTCATTTCATTTCATTGAAACCACAAAGAATGTTTCCACCATAACTTCCAATTGTTCAATATTTTTTTCTATCAGACTTTGAGTAGTGTGCAAGAATTATCCAAACATACTTTGACTTTACTGATCCCAAAGGAAAAATTATTGTAGTTGTAGCTCATTAATTCAGATTCTTCAGAGTTATTGTAGATGGCTGATTGCTGTTGGCAGGAAAGATCTTTTGTAGCTGTCTGTATCACAGCAAATCTGAAGAAGCCTCTGACTGACAATCTGTTTTCCCCATACAGACTCATGAAGAGGATGGTCAGAGTTGTCCATAGCATTCTTGACTCTTATAAAGAATCCTTCTTTGCATCATCTCCAGAGGTTCCACAGTTGTCTCCAGAACAGAACCAGAACAAATCCAGCTTTCTTTATCAGATTGTTGAGCATTTTGAGGTTCCTGGCTCTGATGCTGCTGCACCAACAGATGATAGCAGAAGCATCTCGACAGATCTTGGCTTCCTGGAGAAGTGCAGTCTGCTCTGTCTCTTCGTATAGACGCTTCACTGTTGCGTCTCCAGTCCAGTCTGTGTTCCAGATGAACACTGAGGTATTTATATTCCTGAACCACCTCCACATCTTCTCCCATGATGGAAATAGGGTTTCTCCTGGAATCAACAACCATCTTCTTTGTATTGTTTACAGTCAAGAATAGGTGATTGTTCCCACACCAGGCCACAAAGCGCTCCACCAGATCTCTGTACTCGGCCTCTTGTCTTTCTCTGATACAACTGCAGAGTCGTCTCAGTATTTCTATAGATGACAGAAGTCAGACTTGTGCTGGAAGTCTGAAGTGTAGAGAGTGAAAAGGAATGGTGAGAGTACAGAGCCCTGTGGTCTTCCTGTGCTGCTGACCACCTGGTTTGACACTCAGTCCTTCAGTCTCTTTTTCACAGACGCAGGTGATTGTTGAGGCCTCCACCTTCGTCTTCTGGAGTTTCTAACAGAACAGATCAGGCTGAATTGTGTTCAATGCACCTGATAATCAAAGAACCTGATCCTCACTGTGCTGCCTGCTTCGTCCAGATGACACTGGGTTTGTTGAAGCAGGTGTCTGATGACATCATCAACTCCATGACGATGAACAAACTGCAGAGGGTCCTGCAGAGGGAATCTGTCGAGATGCTTCTGCTGGTCTGCTTACTCAAGTGGGCCTCCAGGAGTCTCTCCAGGACGTTCATGATGTGGGTTTCCAGGGCAACAGGTCTACAGTCGTTATGTCTGATGGGTCTGATGGGCACCAGAACCAGGCAGGATGTCTTCCACAACAGAACCTCCTCTTGGGTCAGGCTAAGGTTGAAGAGACGCTGCCGAGTCCCACAGAGGGACTCTGGGACTGACACCATCTGGACCTGCAGCCTTGTTCCGGTTCAGCCTCTGCAGCTGCTTCTTCACTGCTAGACAAGGAAAAGTTGGAGGTGGAGGCAAAGGGAGCAGCAGCGTCTCCTAATGTGGTTGAAGACAAACTTGTGGAAGCAGAAGAGTCCATGACTGAGGAGGAAGATGGAACATCTGAGGTTTGACAGGAAAGCTGTGCGTCAGAGGAGGATCACATATCAGTTTGGCTGGAGACAGGAGATGATGATGATAATGATGATGATGATGATGATGATGATGATGAGCTTGTTCCTGGACTGAACCTGTTGAAGAATGTGTTCAGCTCATTTGCTCTGAAAAGAAAATAATATTGTTAAAACAATCATGGTGACATGTTTTTATGTAATAAGTATGTAATGTTTGGAATGAAGAAGATATGCTGCATAATCTGATGTCATTATAATAGAGTATTGTGGCTCAGTGCAAAAACACACATTTTGTTGGTTTCTGAAGAGTAAAAATTTAACAAATGTAAACACTTAAAGATTAAGTTTATATTTCACAGTCATCACAATGCTAAAGAAAAGTCTCACAACAGTGTAAAAATCATGGTATTTATTTACAAGACAAGAAGCGGGAGGAAGAGATTAAAGAATGTAATAGATTTTGCAGTGTCAGGTTATTTCTAGTATGATGATGTAATGGTGAATTTTTGGGCTTATTGTATTCTGTTTTATACTTGTGTGTAACTTTCGCTTGATTTATGAAAGCATGGAAAGTAACTAATCTGATGATTGAGTAAAATAAAATTACGTTGTAAGCAAATTCAATAAAAGCTTTTTTGCCCGTCACTGCTTTGGTTTTATTCAGATGTCAGATTTGGATAATTTGATGTGGTAAATATCTGCTGTAGAGCAGAACAATAATTTGATTTTTTTTTAATTATTATTATTATTTTTTTATGCTATTTAAACTCATTGGTGTGAAGTCTGGTACAAACAAGTTATATGAGGTTAAGTCACATAAATACAAAACAACAACAAAAAATACCCATTAAAGTTTGATCATCTTTTATGTTTTAAAAATATCCTCAGTATTTACAGTCCACATCAAATACATAATCTCTTCTCACACTCCTACTGTTACCACTGAGTCTAAAGGAACAGATCAAACTGAACCACACAGATTTTGTCCTGGGAGGAACTAAAAGGACACGGAGACCTGAATGAAAAAAGAGATAAAGGACAAAGCACACGGGTGAAAAGAATAGAGGACAGACAAATGAGTGAACGATGGACAGAAATAAAAGACTAAGCCTCATGTTTACAAAAAAAGGTGTTTATTTACACCATAAAAAAAGAGAAGAGAGCCATTGAACAAAAAATATCAAGACTTAAAATGCCCAAGACACATTTAGCCTGTCGTGAAAATGTATTGATTGAGTCATATCTGACATATTGACTGGAGAGGTACTGTGGGTCCTAGTCAGACTTTTCACTGTCACTGGCATTTTTTCTTGAGCCAGAAAAGCTAACTAGATTTGCTTAACAGGGGAACTTGAGCAAATCATCTTTCTAAACAGAATGAGCATGTCATAGTTCAAATCCTAAAATTAAAGAAGCCGATGACGTGCATCACACAGGGCCGCCGTTCAGAACGCTACATAAGAAAAGAAAGAGGCTCTGCCCTCCCTCTGCAGATCCTGAGTACAGACCAGGAGAGAGACCAGAGACAGAAACTACGTCCAGACGGAGCGGGTACCTGCAGCCTGTAAGCCGTCGCCTCCCTGGGATCAGTCGTCATGTCGTCGTCGATGTATGTTGAGTACCGAGGCCTTCTCCTGCCCCCTGTGGCCCACAATGCAGAGAGCCTGGAGTTTGCCCAAAATTTTTCAGTGGAAGACTCTGATGTGTTTGCGGTGACATATCCCAAGTCAGGTAGAGTAAACCAGTTCTTGTTTCTTTCTGTAGTTTAAATGCTTAAATCGTAGGTGTAGTCAATGCTCCACCCTGTTATATATAATAAATGTCATTGATGAAGTAAGATGTCATATCAGAGTTAGAGTAGCTGTTATGTTTGTTGTTCCTATCAGAGTGATGACAAGGGTAATTCTCAGAAAACATGATTCCATTCTTCAGGTTACAAGCAAAACTTTTAAAATATCATTTTGTGGCTTGTCGAGTTCAGACAACAGAAGATTAAATTGCCTTTTTTCCTGCTCTTTTAATGAAGAGTTTTTTTTTTCTTCCTACTCCTGAAATGCAAGGCACAAAATTTATATCTGCAACATATAAATGCATCAAGGATTCTGGACAAACCCGATGTTCACTAGTGACAAGGGTGTACGCTTTGGTTTATTAATTATTTTCACAAATACAAAATAGACTCCATGCCCATTTAAAGTTAATTTTATTTGATTTTTGTGTTTGAGCTCTTATTGCAACCTGACACCTTTGCTTCATGGATGAATGTTCAGTTTTATCAGCCACAGTTCAAAGCCTTTTATGCTTAAAAAAATTGGATTTTTCATTCGAGCATGAATTATAATCTTATTTTTGCATTCTCCCAAGTGTTTTTTTTTTTTAAGTTGCATTTTTGAGTTTAGTTTCTGTTGCCTTTTTGGGAAACCATAAAACTCTGCTTGATTGAAGAGTCTGGCACAATCATAAGATGTCGGCTTAGTTTGTGTCTAAATGCGTTTGTTTTCTCTGGGCAGATACCGGTTATACCTGTTTC